ACCAGCACTCCACAGTTGTGGTTAGTGTTGTTGCTAAGAGCCATTGGGGAGGTTCTGACTCATAGCAACCTACCTACAACAGAATGAAGCACTGTGGTCCCGGGTCCTCCTCACAATGATGGTCAGAGTTGAGCCCATTACTGCAGGCACCGTCTCAGTCCATCTCATTGACAGGCTTCCTCTTTCTCACCAACCCTCAACTTTACCAGCATGATGGCCTTCTCTAAGGACTGGTCCCTCCTGAAGGTATGTCCAAAGTTCATGAGAAGTCTTGCCGTCCTTACTTCCAACGAGCCCTCTGGTTGGACTTCTTCCAAGACAGCCAAGTTTCATCTTCTGGCTCTCTGTGGTACTTCCGATACCCCTCGCCGGCACCGTCATTCAAAGGCATGGTTCTTCGTTGTCCAGCTTTCACACGCAGATGGAGTGATGGAAAAGATCATGGCTGGCGTCAGGCACCCCTCGGTCCTCAAAGTGACGACGTCCTCGCTTTCCCACACTTTAAAGTGAACTCGGGCAGCAGGTTTCCCAATGCACTTCTTCATTCCATCTCTGGACTGCTGCTTCCACATGAGTGTCGATCCAGACCCGCGTACAACGAAATCCTTGACAGCATCCATCGTCCCTCTGGTTTATTGGCCTAATCATGAAGATTTTCGTTTTCTTAACACTGAGTTTACACGAAGTGTAATGTTTTCTTTACACTTTGCTCTTCATCAGCAAGTGCTTCAAGTCGTTCCTGCTTTCAACAAGCTGGGTTGTGTCAGCTGCATACTGCAGGTTGTTCATAAGCCTTCCTCCACTCCCGAGGCCCCGTTTTCTTCACATAGTCCAGCTTCTCAAGCCATTTGCTCAGCAGACAGGTGGAAGTAAGTATGAGTAGCTGTAGGCTCCGTTGGGCGCTGTCATTATCCTATTTCTGAGCTGTATAGCTAGTAAGTTGCAGAACTGGAATCTGAACCCAGACAGTCTCTGTACTGCGCAGATAAGACAGCACACACGGCAGCCCAGCAGCATAGGCCTACTCTTTCTGTATCACCAATGAGAAACCTGGGGGCTTGCTTGCTTCCCACAACGCCATCCTGCTACACGATGCCAGAGATAGCCGAGACCTTGGCTTGCCAGCGTCTGATTCTGGCGGTGTCTAGGAAGTTAGAGTTGGAGAAGGGCCTTCTAGGGAGAGAGGCCAGCGAGTGGCAAGATCCAAAGGCATGAAGGAGCCTGATAGTGTTGGTGATTCACAGGGACCAGAAGTGATTCGGGGTGAGCCATAGCAGATGAGGCCTGACACGTGGGCAGGAGTCAGCACTAAGCGAAGCCCTTGGAGGTCCTCCTGATAACAACGAGGTTCTAGAATGCTTTTAAGTATGAAGCAGCAGCCTCTGGTACGGAGATGGCTTGGAGGGAAGCCAGATCATCAGGAGGACTGATTAGCAGCTATCACAATAACCAAGGCAATTAATCAGAGCCCAGGCTCTGGACAGCCAGGTAGCAAAGGTGTGAATCAGAGGCATGTTCCTATGCATATGTTAATGTTGGAGGTATCCCATAATGCACTGCATAAAGTTTAAACCCCTCAGGATGGAGAAGAAGCATCTCTTCACGCTGGCCAGCCTCCCTTTGGGCGGGTTGCTGGCTAGAGGAGGGTAAGCAGGTGGCATGAAGACCAGGTCTACCCACCATCCATCCCCTCACAAGCTGTGATTCCACATCCTCTATACCTTTGAAAATACAGTTTCCTGTTCCCCGCTTCTCGTTCCTCTTAGCAAACTCTCACTGACGCCTCGACACCCACCTCCAATGTGCTCTCATGCACTCATGCACTTTCACAAGCACTTGTTGAACACCCAGACAGACAGCATCCTCCTGGCATGAGATGCCCAAGACTCGGCCGGTCTCCCAACATGGCCATTGGGTGACTTCACGTGCAGAAACCTCCCTCTCCTGAGACCAGTGCTTGTTTGAATAGCTAGTGTGCCGTTGAATGACCTGCGAGCCAGGGCTTGTGGGGGAGGGCTCGGGATTCTGCCTCTCTAGCTGTTGCTGGGGTCCACGCTCTGCATCTGAGCAGCGACGTTTTCTCAGATGAAAAAGCATGCTTTTCCAGCACGGCTTCCTAGAGACGGCCCATGGCTGCTCTAATGAAGCACTGGAGCGAGTCTCTTAGAACGGTTTTTCGTTCGGTTTTTCAGCACACAACTCCACCATCGAGGTCCTGTGCCTGCGGTAAGACACCATATCAGACTTGCTCAAGTCTCCCGAGGGGTGGGGGTGAAGGGGTTGTGGGGTAGGGGAGGAAACAGACCAGGGCACCTGGCAGAAACAACCTGAGCGAGAGAAGCCTGGGGCAGGGAGCCTGCCTGAGCAGCTGGGAAGGCTGGGGAGGGCTGCGGGACGTTCACACGTCGTTCACTTGCAGCTCATGTTTTGCACATTGTAAGCTTGTCTAGAGCTTTGCAAATGCTCCCTTCCATACCTCATTCCACCTGGCAGCCCGTGAAAGGCGGGCATTCCTATTTTATAGCCATGGATGCGGACGTGGAGAGGTTGGCTTCAGGTCACACATGGTGAGCCATGAACCAATGCTTCTGGTGCTCGCTGCTGTCCGGTCAATGCCAACGGACTCATATCGGCCCCAGGTGTCAGAGCAGAGCTGCCCCCCAGGGTTCTCTGTACTGTCATCTTTACAGGGACATTGACTGGGTTTGAACTGCCAACCTTCAGTTAGCAGGCAGCACTTGTCATTGCACCAGTAGGGCTCCGTGACAAAGCAATGCCTTGGGCACCCAGGCAAGCTCTGTCTCGACATCACAGTGGCTCCCTAGACCCTAGCCCACCCATGAACATGGGGCCTCTCTATGGAAAATTGAGTCGGTGGCTCTTCGTTTTAAATGGTGATGTCCTCTCACCGCTGGCAACAGAAACTGATGCACCAATACCCACCCTCCCGTGGCCCCCAGGGCATGGGCCACTCCTGCCATGTCCTAGCTATGTCTCTGGGCCTGGCGGACAGGACGCGACCACCTGTGCCCTGGACAATCCACTCCCTGCCAGGAGGTGAATCTCAAACCCCATATGCCTCGTCCTGCCCTCAGAAGACTCTCTCTCTCTGTGTTGGGGTCTCCATTCCCAGGCACCCTTCATGGGCAGGCTCCACTAATCGCCTCCATCCTCTTTTGTGTTTTAGCCTCTTGTTTCCCACTCCTGCGCCATGAACATCCTGCTCTGGGACCTCCTGCTGCTCAGCCTCTTCCCCAGCGTGCTCAGCAGCTGCCAGAGGGACTGCCTGACCTGCAGGGAGAGGCTCGGCCCGGCCCTGGACAGCTTCGACCTCGAGGTGAGTGAGAGCCCGGCCCTGGGACTGTTCATCACCCCCCTTCCTCCAGAGCCCAGTGTCCCACGGGGAAAACACATCCTAGCTGGACACACATCCCCCTGCCCCCACCATCTCCAGCGCATAAGCCATGTGATCTTTCCCCTCGACAGCGTGCGAACACACACATGCCCATAGCATCATTTTGTTCTGACCATGGCAAGGGCATTCTCACTGTAGAGAATCCAACAGATTCGGAGAAGTTTGTGGTTTTTTTTAAATTGCACTTCACTTTTAATTCCAGCAGCCTTGTCAGATCACCCAATCATCAAGGTAAAGTGCACTGCCATACTGACTCATAGGGACCCCACGGGCAGGACAGAGCTTGTGAGTTTCCAAGACTGTAACTGTTTCCTAGAGTAGAAAGCCCACCTTTCTCCCTCAGAGCAGCTGTTGGTTTCAAACTGCTGACCTTTTGCAGCAGAGCCCAACTCATGATCACTGTGCCACCAGGGTTCCCTAGTAAGCAAAGTAAACGCAGGCTTATTAATGTGGCATGAGAAAACCCAGCTCACCTTGCTTGCTGGGCTATCATCCCTGACACCAGGCAGAGAAAGAACCTGACTGTTTTTACTTGATATGCAGGATCCTTGTGCGTGTTATTAAATAAGTAGCATTTGAAAGGTTTTATGCCCATGAACCCTGCTCATTTTATTTAATCAGCCCCCTGCTGTTCACATTGTTGTTAGTATTGTTAGGAGTGTTGCTTTGTTTTTTCTAGTATAAATAGAAAATGAACATCCAGGTATTTACATGTTCTCTCATATTTTAAATTTGGGGTGCAAATCTGTTGTTGGATTTTTTATTCATTAAATCAACTGCTTTGCCATCTATTTTAATGTCAGTCTGTACATAATCATTCTATTAAGTCTAATATAACTCAATTCTTTTGGCTTTGTAGACCAATAA